TTGATTTTATTTTATTTTACTAGTTGGTTATTGGAAGAAGAAGAAGAAGATGATGAATATGATGATCAAGGTAATGGAAGAAGATCAACTATAATCAACCTGCCATGCAGTAATTTATAATTAATTATAGTGGATATTCTAGATGGATTATATTGTGATGGGATATGATATAATATACTAATACAATATAATACACAGCTTGTCTCTCTTTAATATGTCTAGTGCAATAGTCTCTTATCTGATCGCGTTGGCGCGTTGGTTTCAATGTTTGATTTTAAGCTTATTGCTTGTTGCATATAACCGATACAACATAATACGAACAATCTATAATATAATGATTAAAACTAAATTGACTATATAATTCTATAATATTAATATCCTTTCTTCTACTGTCTTCTCTTATTGACTACGCCCTTATTAGGCTTATTACCTTATTATTTATTACCCATTACACAGCCAAATAAGTTGCATACTTTTCTCGATTTCAGCCTTCAGGCACACGACAATAATTTTCACTAAAACACCAAATCATGGTAAACAAATATAAACCATAAAGACAAAGATATAAAGAGATTCATAGATACTGCTAGAAATATCACTATTACTAAACCATCATCACAATCATTTGATTAGAACCAGACTGACTTTCATCATCATTGCTGCTTTACAAACCTCTCGCTTGGGTTTTAATTAACCGCTGCATATACAAAACAGATAATCAAATATAAAACTGAAAACTAGATCATATTCAAAAGTATTATATTATTGCTGCTCTTTGCTACTACTACTGCTACTAATGACTCTAAAAAGAATGTTCTTCAAGAAAACTAGACTAGTTATAGTTCTGCTACTCATAATATCTGCAAACCTAGGTTTATTATCAATATTAAAATATGATAAACAAAGAATAATTGCTTTAACAAGTTTAAAATCATATATTCAAACTCCAACTGATCTCAAGAATAAAAATTTAGACTTGAGTTTTGTTAGAGATAATAAATTAAGTACAAATATTTCAACAAATTATTTTATACCTGATTATTTATATAATGGTCAATCTAAAACTTATACTTTTGATCCAAGATTATCAATAGGTATATATTTAAATCATATAAATGAAAAATTTCAATCAAATAATGATTTATCCAAGATTAAATTACCATTTAGTTGGTATGATTGGACTGATTTAGGTTCAAGTTTAAATAAATTAATAAATTTACCTCAAAATTTTAAACCTGATTGTTCATATGTTTGTACAAATTATTTTAATAAAGAATTACAAAAAGAATTAGAAGAAAAAATTAAAGGAACATTTGTTGAACAATTTGAGGATGATCAACAACAACAACCAGAAAATGGTCCAAAAAAGAAACCAAGAAGAATTAAAAAAAGACCAACAAAACATCAATTACAAAAATATTCATATTGTAATGATGATAATTCTGAATTTCAACCAGGTTTTAGAATCTTTAAAAATCATTTAAAATCAAGACCTGATGTTAAGGCATTACAATCAAAATCTTTTCTTTATAGTGAAGCTCAATCTCCAATTTCTTTAACTTTTTTAACTCCAAATGGTAATTTACAATTTGAAACTTTATCAAATGAAGGAAAAACTGATAAACAAGAATTTGGCTTATTAAGAAACAAGATGATTCAAAATTATAAAAAATCATTCGTACAAAATCAACAGTCTACAGATCAAGATTCAAAAGATATATTCATTGATCCTAAAAATGAATTAAATTCAATGTTATCCACAATTGGTCCCAAGCTCCCTAATCATTCACCAAAATTACCATTAGATCAATTCACCCTAGAATTAAATCAATCACAATTCATATTTGATGCCCCAAATTATTTAAGAACCAATGACAAACCACAATCAAAACATCAAGAAATTTTCACAAATTCATTAAAATCATCCCTTCAAACAAAAGAATTATTTATTGAAAAATATTTCAGAGAAGTCCTGTTAAGTCGTACAACAAATCATTTACAAGGTGGTCATTTTGATTGGAGATTTTTTTCAGGTGATATAAATCAACATGATCGTTCAATAATTTTATCAAGATTATTACAAAATTGGTTTAAATTAACTTCTAACTCCGGGTTGATAAGTTGGTTAGCTCATGGTCAATTATTATCATATGATTTTAATGGATTAAATTTCCCTTGGGATGATGATTTAGATGTTCAAATGCCCTTTCAAGATTTTGCAAAATTTTCAGAATTATATAATGGAACTTTAGTTATAGAGGATCCAAATATTGGATTGGGGAGATATTTTATTGATGTTACAAATTCTTTAACTCATAGATTAAAAGGAAATAATAATAATCATATAGATGCAAGATTTATTGATGTTGATACTGGATTATTTATTGATATTACTGCTCTTGCGGTAAGTCCATCTGATTTACCAAGGAAATATGAAAATGATTATAAGAATTTAATGCAAAAAGGTGAAGAATTAAAACATGTTGATCCTAATGCATTTGATGGAATTTATGATGATCTTGATAAAGAAACAATGAGAGAATTAATTAAAGTTAATCCAGAATTATATAAACAATTAAGACAATTTCAAAGAGAATCTCAACGTTCCACTGGAAGATTAATCACAGGGAAAACATCTGAGGAAAAATATGATATTAATTATAAATTACAAATTTTTAATTGTCGTAATGATCATTTCATATCAATGAAAGATTTATCACCATTAAAAAGATCATTTCATGAAAAAATCCCCGTGTTTATACCAAATAATATTAGTTCTATATTATTAGATGAATATAAACAACAAAAAACTTTAACTAATGAATATCAAGGTTATCATTATTTACCACAATTAAGATTATGGATCCAATCAGGGAAGATTTCAAATATTGTAAGAGATGAAGATAAAAGAAGAGATAATAATTTAATTACAGAACAAGATGTTATTAAATTATTAGAACAAGATGATGAAATTTTATTTGAATATGCAAAAACTTGGGATATAACATTAATTAGAGAAAAAGAAAAAGAAATTTTAAGAGATCAAAGTTTGTCTTCAGTTGATAAAGATTATTATTTGGAAAGGTTAATTATGACAAGATCATTTCCAAGTATGAGAAAGGATTTTTTTATATCAAAATTAGAAGATGAAAATTTTATAAATCAAAAAATTAGATTTGATAAAGAATTATTACAAACAATTATGATTGAACAATTACATAAAGAATATCAAAATAAAGTTGATTATAATTCATTAGGATATGAAAAAACTTCAGAAACAGATACAAAGGTTATTGAATTTAATAAAATTGGTGAATCATATAAAACAATTTTGAAAAAAGTTCAAATTGAAAATTTTGAACCAGATGTTGAAATTAAAAAACAAGAATTAGAATCAAAATTAAAGAAATCAAATTCTGATTCAGAAAAATTTAAAATTAATGAAGAATTAACCAGATTATTAAAAAATGAAATTATTGAAAAATTTGATGAAGATTCTCCTAAACCAAAAATTTTAAATAAAGGTGAAGTCCCTGGTGTTATTGAAAGACCAAAACCAAAACCTATGGATGATGAAGATGATACGGGTGTTGTTCAAGGTGTTGAGCATCAAGATGGTAAAGTTCAAGAGGTTGATAAAGGTAAAGATAATAATGAAGGATTAAAAGATTTACCAAAAATTGAAATGGATCCAGAAAAAGAATTTGAAAGATTAGATAAATTCGAAAATCAAAGAAATAAAATAATTATGTAAATATATGTGTACTTTTAATTTTTTTATACATCAACTTCTCTATATAATAAACCTTCATTACCTTTCCCTAAACTTCCCAAGACATCAACACTTTTATTCTTCAAATCTATTGAATTATAACCAACTAAACCTTTACTACCATTAAATTGTACGATTGAACTAGTACCACCAAATAAAACATCATCTTCAATACCTGATCTATTACAAAATAATACTGTTGCCTTGGATTGAAACCATGATGATTTCATTATATGATTCATAAAGGGGAAAAATCTAAGGATCCAATAGTTTAAGTTATTAAAATCTGGGTTTTTTAATTCGGTAAATTCTTTTAGTTCTTCATAATCTGTAATTTGATTGTTTTGATCATCATTAATCTCATATTGTTGTTTTGTATTGGCAATTTGATCTTGGATTTTTTTGGATTCTTTTAATTTTTCCTCTTGGTTAAGTGAATCATTTATACTTGGACTTGTAGAATGTAACCAAGCCATTGGACATATAATTAATTTAACCTCTTCATCTAAACAATGATTTGAAAATTCAAATTTTTGGAAAGGTTCTTTAAATTTATAAGGATTTAAATCCATACAAATCCCAATACTTGTCTTGATACCATTTAATTCCAAAGTTTTAAAACCTTCACCTTCTTGAGCACCAAATGTTTCATCTGTATCATACAAGAATGATTTATTATAATTATGAATAATTTCTCCATGTGGATTAATCACAATAGCTGAATTAAATGTCTTTTTATTAGAAATTTGTGGATAACCAAGCACAGTAAAGCAATTTAATCTTTGTGAAGTTGATTGAGCCCATGTTATTGAAGGACCTGGGTTTTTCAAGTCTTCTAAATGTGATGATATTGCTTTTGGATTTGGGAAATTATAACCTGTGAATGCAAATTCTGGTAATATTAATAAATCTATTGGTTTAGAAGTTGGTAATTTTGATAGGATTGTGTTGGCTCTTTGAATGTTTTCTTCGATTTGATGGATTATTGGGTTTAATTGAAGGAGTGCTATTCTTAGTTTTGTCATTGTACTGGGTGGTGGTTTTGGTTACTATGAGATTTTGTGGTTTTGGTGAAGTTTTTGGTAGACCGATCTCTTTCAATTTAACTTTTTCGTGGTCTTTATCAACTACCATCAACACATACAAAAACAAACAAAACTCAAATATTTCATTCCAATCAGCTATATAGTTATACACAATGAATCACCATGGTAATTCAGTACCATCATAGTTTAAAAATTTACCATTTTGTTCTTTTTTCAAAGGTTCAAACACATTTTTAATCAAATTTTTAACACTTGTTTCTGGTGAAATATGATCTAATGGTAAAGTTTCTAATACTTGTTTCAATTCAGGTTTATATTCAACAAATTCATCTAAAATTGCTTTACAACTATCAGTATCAACAAGACCTGGATGAATTGCAACCACAGTGAATCCATCTGGTGATAATTCATGTGATAATGTGATTGAAACATGATTTAACGATGCTTTATTTTGACCATATGGACCTGAAGAAATTGAATTATTTTGACTTAGTGAACCTGCAATACTTGAAACTAAAATGATTTGTCTTGTTGGGTTGAGTAATAAGTATGGTTTAATTTGTTTTAAAACTTCAATTGGACCAAGAACATTAACAATATAATGATTAATCCAAATTTGTCTTTCTAATTCTAAGATTGCCTTTGATGAACCTTTACCTGAATATCCAGCATTTGCAATATAAACATCAATACCAGTTTCACCAACAATTGATTCAATTTGATCATCAATTGATTTGATTGAATTTGGATCACTAATTTCTAATTGAATGATATGTAATTGACCTTTATGTTTTTTGGATAATTCTTGTAATTCAATAGCTTTTGATGGATCACGAACAGTACCAATGACAACATTCGTTGAATCTAATTCAAGGTATTGTTTCACAATTTCGAATCCAATACCACGATTAACACCTGTGACGAAATAAGTTTTACCCATTATTGATTATACTAGCTTTTGATAGTCTTTAAGCATTACACTTGGGCCATATTCGACTACATTTCATCTACTTTATATACTTGATCATATATAACTCAAAGTCATGATATCAAGAAGTGTATACTTTGTTCTGACAAATCAACCTTGTTATTTATAAGCTCAAGTTATATATCCCTCAAAAATCCTTATGTGTTGAAGCATATCTATCATTTCTATTTCAATAGTTAACCAAATTGAGGTTTTTGATAAATTATAATCCGTCTTAAAAGCGTGGATGATGATAATTAGTAATTAAAGTACAACACTGCATAAAGGTTTCAATGAATTCTCGTGTTTTCAGATTATACGATCTTATATTAATGTTTATCAAAGGATCAAGGGTCTTTGTACGTTAGTTTATTGTGGACTTTCAACGATGCATAATTAGTAATCAGTGTAGTGGATATTATTATATCTTTATCTTTAACTCTAATTTTTCATGGATTGTTGATTACTAACGAAATATATACATGAATATGGTTTAATCTATATCCTACTTGCTAGTCAGCAGCTTCAATTGTTCAAAAATTTAAACAAAACATTAATATTAAAGAGTATAATATATAGTACATAAATATCATATAATTAAAACAAAAAAAAATAATCACCACAAATCAAAATTATAATAAAACCACAAAACATTGACATTCAACCACCATTAGTACTCAAAGAAAACACCTTATTTTGAAGATGAAGCTTTTTTCCAATGTTCAACTTCTCTATAAGCTCTTTCTAATTCAGCTTTTAATTTTTCATTTGAAGCAGTTAATTCAGCAATAGCTTGATCAGTTAATAATTTTTCTAAAGTCCATTTTTCAATATTATTATTTTCATTTTCTTTTAATCTTTTAATATATTCAATAGCTCTTTGTAAAATTTGTGATTTATTTGTATCTTGAGTTGGTAATAAAGTTGATAATTCTTTAATACCAGAATTTATATTTTCTCTTCTACGTCTTTCAACTTCTTTATGATTATCTTTTCTAATTCTATGCCATTCATCAGATCCTGCTAAAGGTTTTTCAGAACTTTGATGAAGTATTTGAGTAGTTGATTGTTCTGGTGATTGTTGACTTGTATTTGAACTTGGTGGAGATTGTTGAGTAACATTTGAAGATTGTTGTTGTTGTTGTTCATTATCTTCATCATTTGAATCTCTTTGATTTGTAGAATCATTTGATAATGCATTATAGTTTGTCAATTGTTCACTTAAACGAGCATGAGTACGTTCATCTCCATTATTACCGGTATTTGAATTATCATTATCACCATCATTATTATCATCATTAGCATTAACACCTTCATCATCTTTTTCTTGAGCAGAGGCATCATTATCATTTTTATCATTTTCATCATCTGCATTTTCATTAAAAGAAGTTGATTGATGAGATAATAATTCAGAATCTATAGCTATACTTGAATCTTTTGAAGTATCTTTATTTGAATTATTATTAGAATCACCATTTTTAGGAGAATCATATTTTAAAGCAGCTTCAGCAACAGATGTTTCCTTTTGAGCTTGTCTCTTGACATGAGAATGATCAATGTCTTCACCAGATCTTTTATTAACTTGCATTGTGTTTACACTTTGACTATTATTGATTATTTGTTTACCTTTTGGGAGGATTCAAAGTGTGATTAAAATCGTGATTTCCACGTGAATTTGATGAAAATTTTGACCTTTTATAAAAAAAAACAAAAAAAATTTAAAAAAAAAAAAAAAAATGAAATCCGGTTTGAAAAGTCAGGTGATGTTTTAGTCATGTGACTCAATTTTTGGTCGGAATTCGAGTGTGCAATTGTTTTTGTTGAACTGAAATCTGGTGATAATTAGAAAACAATTGAATTGGTGTTGAAGGTTTGGACAAGGTTGAATTCCAAGGATCTGTAATAAGGAGATAGTTCTGGTGTGTTATTTTTGTGCTGCTTCAGTGTTATTTGAAGAAATCTCCGTTTTAGCGCTATTCCAAAAGGTTCCATTTCAAGAGTTTAGTTGGACATATATCCATTAGCTGTTCGGTGTTCACTGTTCATTCAAAAGAAAAAAGGTTATACTTCAATTAATAAATCATGTCAAATAAAGCAGAAGATTCAGGTTCAAACTCACCAGCTCCTCAGAGTAACAAGAGAAAAGAAGATAAAGAAAAAGATAAGTATTCCAAAAGACAAAAAATTACACTGTCATGTACAGAATGTAGAAGACGTAAAATTAAATGTGATCATAAAAAACCAATTTGTGAAAATTGTATTAAAAAAAATTTACAAGATCAATGTACATATTCAACATCACCATGGATTCAAATTATTTCAAGTGAAAATCAAATTTATGAAGAAATTAAATCATTAAAGAAAGAAAATGATTTATTAATTAAAAATATTACATTATTAAAAGAACAATATGGAAAATTTAATGGTGAAGGTAATAATAATAATAATAGTGGTTCAAGTACAAATAATGGTCATAATTCAACACATGATGACCTAAGTGGTGGAAGTACTGCATCACCAAGTTCAAATAATCCATTAACTCCATCATCAACAACTTCAATTCAAGCAAATTCACAAGGTAATAAAGAAGATACTATTGCTAAACAATTATCAAATTTATTATTAAAATCTATTGTTTCTAGAATCCGTTCATTAGATGATTCTATAATTACAATTCCACCAAAATTTAATTCACCATTAACACCAATGTTAACATTAAAAATTAATAATGATAAAAAATATAAAGAAATTTTCTTAGATCAATTATTAATTAATTATTTACCATCATTTGAAATTATTGAATATCATATAAATTATTTTTTCAATTCAAATTTTTTTAAAAATTTACAAATTATATCACAATCACAAATTTTAAATTCATTTAACAAGATGTTTAATAAAATTGATAAAAAAATTCAAATTGACCCTAAGCGTGAAATTCAAGATTTTTTACAATTAGCTATAATTTTAACAATTTTAAAAATTACATCAGTTTATAAAGATACACCATTTACAGATCCAGAAAATAAATTAATATTATATATTGATGCATCATTAGGATTTGGTGAACTGATTACAAGATCTTCCATCCCGGCATTACAAGCTGTTATTTTGGTTAATTCATATAGATTATTTGTTCAAGATATGAATGAAATTGATCTTTATTTCTTGATTCAATTATGTCAAGATTTTGCAATTGCAATTGGATTACATAAAAATATTGATGTATTATATGAAGATAAAACTTTAGAAGAACGAGAAATGTTGAAAACAATCTGGAATTGTTTGAATGATACAAGATAAGAACAAGTTTTTTCTGTGTGTTTTTTGCTGAATGATATTTTTTAGTTCATACAACCATTTTATCATGTAGCTGTACGAGTTTCAATAAAGTCTGACCGGTCACATCAGAATCTTTTTGGATGGAAATTTTCAACATGACAGCTACAAAGATGTACAAAGATTTGAAATTCATGACTCATGAGCTTAACCTTTATTTTGTTCTTAATTATCAATTACATGCCATTGATCGATTTTGCCCAGTTAATTGATGACATATTATTAGACGCATGTTTTTTTTAAAAAGATTAATCCAATGATATCTTAGAGCTAGAAATATTGATCGATATTCACGACCAATTTCAAATATTCATGAATCATGATTCCTCGTTTAAGCATCTCTCGTTTATCGAATTTAAGCATCGCTCGTTCTTTTTTTCGTTTATAGATATTTTTAATGTAGGCACAAAAAGCCTGCGTCCTGCGATATTAGGTATAATTAACGATATGAGTCAGGACTCCATCATGAGTCAGTGGTAAATTGTACAAATTTATTTCAACGTCTGCGTTAAGAAGTTTGAACATATATAAATGAGCGACGTTCAGACTCCAAACTAGCTAAGTTTAACACCCGCTTAATTTTTAAAAAACTGGCCAATATATGAATGATTATACTTATCCAGCTTAATTAATTTTAATCAACATCATATTATAAGAATATAGTTAATAACTATATATAAATTGGATTTATATTTACATTATGAAAGAATTAGAGGTTTTGAGAAACTCACAACTGACAAAAATTTATACTAGTGGTCAAATTAAAGAAACAACTTTTGAAAATTTAAAATCGACAGCTTCAGCTATAGGTTCTGGATTTAATTTAAGACATGAAGGTAATTCCATTGAATTAGAAAATTATAGAAATAATGGTGATAGTACTCAAGAAGTTTCAAATTCAGATATTAGTATTGTTCATGAAGATTTAGAATTTCCTGAAGGTGGATTAAAAGCATATCTTGTTGTATTTGGTTCATTTATGGGATTGGTCCCGGTGTTTGGTCTTGTTAATTCTATTGGTGCTATTCAAGCTTATGTTGGTACTCATCAATTAGCTAATGTTTCTACTTCTTCTTTATCCTGGATTTTTTCAATTAATATATTTATTGCATATTTCTTTGGTATTTTTGCTGGTGTGTTCTTTGATAGAAATGGTACAAGAACTTTATTAATCTTGGGTTCTTTATTATTCACTGGTGGATTAATGGCAACAGGGAATTGTCAAACTGTTTATCAATTCGTTTTAGCTTTAGGTGTTGTTGTTGGATTAGGCTTGGGGATGTTGATTTCTCCATTAGTTGGTGTTGTATCTCATTATTTTAAGAAAAAAAGAGCTACTGCTGTTAGTATTGCTACAATTGGTGGTTCTGTTGGTGGGATAGTTATGCCTTTGATGCTTAGATCTTTATATTCAAAAGTTGGGTTTGCATGGGCTATGAGAATTTTAGCTTTTATGTGTATGGGATGTTTCTTATGTTCAATATTATTTGCAAAAGAAAGAATTTCTGCAAAAAAGGAATTAGAAAATGATCAAACTTTAAATGAAGACGTACGTCTTTCAGAAGATAATAATTCTTCTCTTAAAGATTTATTCAAAATTTATATATCTGATGTCTTGGATTATAAATCATTATTTGAAATTAAATTTTTATTTTGTGCATTAGCAATTGCACTTGTTGAATCTTCTTTAGTTGTATGTTCAGTTTATTTCCCCTCGTATGCAATCAAAAGAGGTTTTAAAGAAGAAACTTCATATTTATTAGTCACTATTGTCAATACAACAGGAATTTTAGGTCGTTATATTCCAGGTTATATAGCAGATAAATTCTTGGGAAGTTTTAATGTTGTTATATTAACAATTATCGGTACTGTCCTTGTTAGTTTTACAATGTGGTTACCATTTGGTCATAGTTTAAAAGTTCTTTATGCATATTCTGCATTGTATGGATTTTGTTCAGGTTCTGTATTATCATTATCACCAGTTTGTTGTGGACAAATTTCAAGAACTGATCAATTTGGGAAAAGATATAGTACAATGTATTTGATTGTTTCATTTACAATGCTTGCGGCTATTCCAATTGGTGGGGCAATCATTGGTAAAGGTTCTATTGTCAATTATAATAATTAAAATTTTATAATTTATTCATGTCTTTTGAATGTTGCAGGTATTCTTTGTTATTTAATTTCAAGATATGCTTGTGTTGGATTTAAATTGTGTAAATTTTAATATTTATCAACATTATAGCTTTAACAAGCTCTGCTAGATGTTATTAAGTATTAATATAAAATCATCAATTATATAGCTTAATTTAACAGAATTGTATTTGATTTTATCGATCGTATTGTTTCCCTTTTTACAGATGTTTGATGTTGATCCGCATTTTAAGCTAGTGTCGGGTATTTAAACCCTCACAATATCGGTTAAATAAATTAACTGGGAAAGACGTATTCAATAATTAGTTACAAATTTTAAATTCATTTACGTTCAAGATATTGTTTAATCTTAAAGATACTGTGTGTGTATATATCGGTTGATAATCCATTCAGAGACCCAAAAGATCCTAGATTATAATACTATATTATACTGATCCAATATCATATAAATATTAGCTGGTGATCACTTGGTGAACCATGCATATGATTACAAAATCTTCCATCAGGATCCCAGCATCGCAGGCTGTTATATATATTGGTCAATTATATATTATATATTATATCGATTATAATATATAATATTTTGTTCAAGATATCAACTTTATAATCAATTCTTGACTCAATTATGTCAAGATTCCATGCTTGATTTCAATTAATGTATTAATTGGATTACATAGAAGTATTGCAGATGTATTATATATGAAGATAATATTTAACACTAAATTAGAAGAATTACGAGAAATGTTGAGAACAATCTGAAATATTAATTGTGATCTGAATGATATAACAAGATAGAAATGCAAAGATTGTATGTATAATATATGGGGTGTTTTGGTTTAAATCAAAAATATAGTATGATATCCCATTCAACGCAACGGCTACCAAGGTCTCAAACAAAAGAACCAGTGCATTATAACCATTTCCATTTAATAACATGTCTTCTTTCATGAATCGTATAATTGTTCATTTTACCGTGAATTGTGCCATTCATTGATCAAATGCCGTGTATGCAATTGTATGGAGTTTTCCAAGCTTTCAATTTTTCTGTCATATCGGTAACGAAAACCCTTAAATATCATAAAATTATAAAGCTTAAAATATTCAATATTTAAGAGTCAAATCATCCGCCAATGAGTTCAATTAACTATCAACCATGTTTTCATATCAACTGGATCTAAATTCACGCGATGAAAGACGAAGTATTGAAATTCCCTCAACTGACAAAAGTTAAGAATGACTATAAAGAAACAACATTTGAAGGATTATCACCAAATGAATCAGCCGCTACAGGTTCTGGATTCACTCTGAGACGTGAAACTAGTGGTATTGAACTAGAAAATTTGAATAACAATGGTACACAAGAAGTTTCAAGCTCAGAAATTACTATTGTTCATGAAGATTTAGAATTCCCTGAAGGTGGATTGAAAGCATATCTTGTTGTATTTGGTTCTTTTATGGGATTAGTCCCTGTTTTTGGTCTTTTGAATTCAATAGGTGCTATTCAAGCTTATGTTGGTACTCATCAATTGGCTGATGTCTCATCATCTTCATTATCATGGATTTTTTCAATAAATTTGTTTATTGCATATTTTTTTGGTATATTTGCTGGTGTATTCTTTGATAGAAATGGTACAAGAACTTTATTAATCTTGGGTTCCCTATTATTCACTGGTGGATTAATGGCAACGGGGAATTGTCAAACTGTTTATCAATTTGTTTTGGCATTAGGTGTGGTTGTTGGATTAGGTTTAGGAATGTTGATTTCTCCATTAGTTGGTGTTGTATCTCATTACTTTAAGAAAAAAAGAGCTACTGCTGTTAGTATTGCTACAATTGGTGGTTCTGTTGGTGGAATTGTTATGCCGCTAATGCTCAGATCTTTATATCCAAAAGTTGGATTTGCATGGGCAATGAGAATTTTAGGATTTATGTGTATGGGATGCTTTTTATGTTCAATATTATTTGCAAGAGAAAGAATCTCCACAAAGAAGGAATTAGAAAAAGAGCAACAGGCAGACAACTCAGATCAAGTAACTAATACGCTAGAAGATAATAATAAACCACTATCTTCTAAAGATTTGTTCAAAATTTATATCTCTGATGTTCTGGATTATAAATCATTATTTGAAATTAAATTCATATTTTGTGCATTAGCAATAGCACTTGTTGAATCTTCATTAATTGTATGCTCAGTTTATTATCCATCATATGCAATCAAAAGAGGTTTTAAAGAAGAAACTTCATATCTATTAGTCACTGTGGTTAATACAACAAGTATCTTGGGTCGTTATATTCCTGGATATATAGCAGATAAATTCTTAGGAAGATTTAACGTTGCCATATTAACACTTGTGGGTACTGTCCTAGTAAGTTTCACAATGTGGTTACCATTTGGTTATAGTTTAAAAGTTCTTTATGCATATTCTGCATTGTATGGATTTTGTTCAGGTTCTGTATTATCATTATCACCAGTTTGTTGTGGACAAATCTCAAGAACTGATCAATTTGGGAAAAGGTATAGTACAATGTATTTAATTGTTTCATTTACAATGCTTACTGCTATACCAATTGGTGGTGCTATCATTGGTAAAGGTTCTATTGGGAATTATAATAATTTTATTATATATTCAGGTATGATGAATGTTGCAGGTATTCTTTGTTATTTGATATCAAGACATGCTTGTGTTGGTTTCAAGATGTGTAAATTTTAATAAATTAAAGCTATATATATACTTTAAATATAAGATCAATCAATGGCTTTAACGCTTTGTATTTTGTTTTATCGGTCCTATTGATTCCCTTTTATAGATGTTCATCCGCGTTTCGGTCGGCGGGTATTTGAAACGTCCACTTCGGTTAAATAAGTTTTGAAAAAATATATAAGTGAAATCATTCCCACCAAGTTAATACCGTTAATCTCATTCAACCGAAACTCAATAAAAGAATCAATCCATTGTGACGTTTATATGAGACCTTCTCCAATACTCTTTAGAGTCACAATCAAACAGAGGTATAACTTAGTACCCAGTATACCCAAACCTTCAATCACACCAATAGCATGTCAATGTTCATATCCAGAATCACATCCAATAAATTATGATAAACCATTATTAAATACTAAATCACCAACTTATAAACATGTTTTAATACCCACAACCATTCCAGCAACTGAATGGCCTTCAAAAGTTGAATTAATTCCAGGTTCATTACTTTCAGAATTCTCAAGTTCAAAAAAAACTGCATTAGATCCAATGTATCCAATTATGATTTCAAATATTCAAATTGATGATCCTAAAGGTGATGTACTTATATTTCCTGATAATAAATGGCATAAAATCACTCAAAACATTCCAGAATTCATGACACAAAATTTAACACCAACAAATACACCAGATCAAGGTTTATCAAATGAAAATCAATATATTTTCATATGTGGTCATGCTCAAAGAGATATACGATGTGGATTAATTGCACCAATTCTGAAAAAAGAATTTGAACATGTCTTGGGACATCATGGGTTATTATATAACAAGGAAACAAACCCTGGGGGTATTAAAGTTGGTATTGTATCACATATTGGTGGACATGCTTATGCTGGGAATGTTGTTTATTTCGATAAAGAAGGTCTTGGTGTTTGGTATGGTAGAGTTGAAGTTGATCATGTTGATCCAATTGTTAAACATACGATATTGGGTAATGAGATTTTTAAAGATTTGTTTAGAGGAAGGTATCAATAATTGTGAGAAGCTAGCTATCTTGTATATATATATGTATATAGTCATTACATGCAAAATTATTTATTAGTTATGATATAATACAGTTCTATTTATAAGTTAGATTAGATTGAAGTAAATCTAATTTCATCAATTTTTTTAGAAATTTCTCTTGGTGTTTTATCTAATTCATTTGAAATTTCAACTTTAGTTGATTCAGATAATGTATTAAATAATTCAATTAAATCACCATCAATAACATTTTTAACTGGTTGATAATAACCTCTATATTTTAAATTCATACGACCTAATAAATCAGGTTTATGCAATCTCATTTGTTTTTCTAAATTTATAAAAAATTTAATATCTGATTTTGTTAATAATGGGATTAATGCCCCTACTGTACCTTGTAATCCAGTATATATGATAAGATCTTTACCACCAATTGTAAATGAACCTTTTGCAAAAGAAGTTGGTATATCTTCAATGAAAAAATTACATAAATTCATTAATTTAAAAGGTGCACCATTTAAAAATTTATCCTTTGTAATTAAAAAAGTTGAATTTGTATCACTTATTTTTGAAGATTCTTCACTAGCTCTTAATATAAATAAATTCCCAAATTTATCACCACCAATAACTGTATTATAATCTAACATCTTTATACTTGTTATATGACGTGGTAAAATATCATCTGTAAAAGTTAAAAATTCATTACTTTTAGGTTTATAAACCAAGAAAGTTATTGATTCTCTAATATCCCCCACAACGACTCTATAACCTTGAGTTTCAATTTTAACAATTTTTGATATGGTATCAATCTTAGAATTTGCCTTGCTTAATAATTGTTTTAACCCCATATCAAATAAACGTAAATGATTTGAAATACCTATAAGAACTTTCCCTTGGAATTCTGTTATAGCATATGCAATATCTGAGATCTTGGTTATATGTATCAAGTTTAATTCTAAATCATATGTATTGATGAAGAATTCATTTGAACCATTATCATGTTTTTTAGAAATTGAAACTAACAAATATGAAGTTGATTTAGATTCAAATTTAACAATTGTGGAAGTTATAATAGTTTCTGATTCTGATAATTGTATAGATTTATTTAATTCTAATTCTTGATCAAATTTTTCAATAAACCCCAAAGATGATGAATTTTGTGTAATGAAAATATCTTGATTATTTTTCAATAAATTTTTTGGTGTTGTCTTTAATTGAATTGAATTTATATTAAAATCATTATCTAAATCATCAATTGTGAAAATTATTAAATTTTTTTTATAAACACCAACAATACCATCAATACAATCTTCACTATTAAACATAAATCCAAATTTTAATGGATTTATTAATAATGAATTAATCTTAAATGTTGAATTTTTAGTTTCATGAACAATCCATGTCTTATTAGAAAATGCTAATACAACATTAACACCAGATATTGAAATTTTACTTAATGAAACAGGTTTATTACCTAAATATTTAATTCTTGTATCAGATAATTGACCATTTTGTTCATCAATTAATGTACGTACATAAACCCCATTTTCTAATCCAATATTAACAAATAATTGATTATTCATAGATAATGTTAAGATATCAAAAGGAATTGAACTTAAAGCTTGTAATGATAATAATTCTAAAGTTGAACCCGGATCTGTTGATAATACTCTTATTGTAGAATCTTGACAACCAACAATTAAAAATGGAGATCTTAATCTACCTTCGGGTATATCACCTAATGATAATGAAACAATTCTTGAAGTTAATTCTTTACGTTCATTATATTCAATTAAACGATCTCTATCATCAACTTCAAAATAAACTAATTCATCATTTGATAAACCAATTGCAATTTGACGATTTGTTGTTGATGTTGTTAAGATCTTAATACCTGCAGGAGGTTGCCATTCATTAATTAATTCACCATTTTTAATGTTTCTAATCCCATTCGAATGGATTTGAACTAATGAATTTATACCAATTTGTTGTATACCAATAGTTTCTTCATTTAAAGCTAATCCAGAATCTGTAATTTCTTCAACATTTTCACCAATTGAAAGTACTAAAGTAGTATCCATAAATGATATAACTAAATATTTATCAAATTCATCATTTTTGTTTAATTTAGTTGTCCAAACTTTATTTGCAATCCCTGGTAAATCACTTTCAACAATTTCATTTATACTTAAACCATATTGTAAAATTTTTAAAGATGAAGAATCTTTAACACCTGATAATGAATAGATTTTGGTAAAAGCATCATCATTAACTAATTTAGAGTCGATTAAAGGATTCAATGAATCCAAAACATCAACTAATAATAAATTATCCAATTCTTCAGTTCTTTCAAATGTTAATTCTTCAATTGGTTCATCATTAGAAGAAATAAATGGTGATTCAGAACCTAATTTTTCAAATTGATAAAAAAATTTTGATCCATATTCACTATCACAATACAAAAACCCAGATCTTAAAATTATAATTGATGAAGCTAATGGAATTGTATCAAAATAACTTATAGTTATTGAACCTTCTTCTAATAATTCAATTTTAAATAAATCACCATGATTAGTTTGTACTATAAAGAAAAATTGATTCTTCATCTTATGAACAACACCAGCCACTATAAATGAATCCTGATTTGATGAATTTTCTAGTTTGGGTATATTTATAGAAACTTTATCACCAATTAAATTTCTATATGAAATTAAATTTTTAGAACATACTAAAACACCAGATGGTCCATCATTACCACCAGGAACTTGTAATAATAAATTCGAAGAATCATGAATTTTTTCAGTTTTCCTTCTAACTATATGATTTAAACCTAAATCTAATTCATAAAATGTTAAAAATCTTTCCACTTCAGTTAAATTTTCAATATATTCATAATTTGAATAATCAATTTCTATAGTGGCAAATACGGGGTTTTCATAACCAACATCTAAACCAATTGAAGTTAAAGTTAAAATCTTGGATCTATTTGCTTCTAAAGGTGAAGATATAGTTAAATTATTATCTAAATCTCTATTGAAAACATAACAAAGTTTATTCTTCTCTATTGCAGTAGCTAATATGGCTCTCCCCTTTGGATCTACTGCAAGATCTTGACCTGGTGATAATCTCCTTATACCAGATTTATGATAAGGTTCATTAAACAGTGTATTAAATTTCCCATTGTTTAAATCTAATTCTAATATTGAAAAATTACCAGAATCTGAAGTTATAGCTAAATAATCTTTTCCAGAACCTGCAATTTTAAAATTTTCCATAGATCTAATGATAGCAAATATTTGAACATTTAATAAATTAACCAATTTACCAGTTTCAACATTTGGTTTATAAACAATTAAAGAATTTGAAGTTGCAGTTATAATTTCTTGAGTTTTTTTACCACTAAAATTACCAACACATGATTTTAAAGAATTTGATTGTCTTTGAAGGGTTAGATTGTACAAGTGTAGTGGTGATTCAATAGACATTTCTTACTTTATGGCCTCAATAGATGTACTTTCACCAATATTAGTATCGACTTGACATAAAACTTCAAGATCATGTTTATATTACTGTTTAATAAAAACTAAAAACACCGGGTAACACATTATATTAAGTTTGATGGTATGTGCACTTTAGTCTCAAAGATTTCAAACCTAGTCTTTTGGAGTCTTCATTAGACCATTTTTAATAGACTATTGATCACCTAGTCCCTCAAATGACCCTCGTGTGGCCCCACATTCTTTTTTAATTTTTGCATTTTGTCGACAATAAAGTACGGAAAAAAAAAACAAATGGTATAAAATTAAAACAATTTCTCCATATTTCTCCATACTTTTTATATCAATTACTTTACTTTGTTAGTTATATAAGGTATTAGGATATTGATTCATAATGAGTGATCCAGCTGATGTTTTAGATGCTCAAGATGCAGTTTTTGAAATCTATGTTCGTATGAATGATGATTCAGAAAAAGATTATTGTTTTAATGTTACTATAAATGATTCATTTGATAAATTGTTGAAAATTTTTGATTCATTAAAAATTAGTCTTAGACCAAGTATTTTTTATAATCAAAGACCAATTGGTTTTAAAATTTCTAAATCACCTGGTTATTTAACTGATAATGGTGGTTTATTATTTGATAATAATGCTGATAAATTAACCCAGAATGTTAAATTATCTGATAAAATTAGTGATTATTGTTGGCCAGGTCAATTAGTTTTACCAATTTGGGAAGAGAATTATTTTTTGTCATATTCAATAATTTCATTGTTATTGGTTTGGTTATATACTGATTTACCAGATTTTATTAGTCCAACTCCTGGTATTTGTTTAACAAATCAATTGAGTAGATTTTTTGCAAATTTAGCACAACATTTTAATTATGATAAATTAGCTCAAGATTTATTTGCAGAAATTCAACCACATCAAAGTACAAAATTAATTCAAATTTTCTTTTTTATAATTCATATTGTTAAGATTGCATTTCTTTATTTTGCACTTTCATTAGGAATTTTCAATCCATATACTATTAATCCAATTAAAATGAGAAAAATTGTTGCACATGATAAATTAGATGAAGCTAAAAAATTAGAATTAATTGCATTAGGTTGGACAGGTACAAGAAGATCAACATTAGATGAATATAGAGAATTTTATAAAGATTTTAAAATTAAACAAGTTGGTGGAATTGTTAAAGCAAGTAAATTAGGATTATTTGAAAAATTAAGAGAACCTGGTGTTTTCTTAGATGATGGAGAAGGATTCCAATCTGATTTAAATAATACTACATCATTAAAAGATTTAGAATTAGATTCAAGTAAATTTATATTAAATTTTGATTGGTTTGCAATTATTGGTGAAAATTATGAATATTATTTAGATAATGAATCAAAAGATAAAGGTCAAGATGTTCGTAATTATAGAAGATATGGTCCATTAATTTCAAATGAACGTATTGAAAAAATTGTTCAAGGAAGAAAAGATAAAGGTAAAGAATTAAAGAAAGAGAAATGAAGTGTGTATAATAACAATAATTAACATTTAATAATAGTTTTCTACAGATGTGTAATGTAATTCCCATCATTCTTCGTATCTTTTATTGAATATACATTAAATGACATTATATGACATAAAAAAACACAAACAAAAATAATAATAATAAACGTCTCAATCATTATAAAAACTCAATAAATGTAAAACATTGGATGTAAACTTTGTAAACTTAACAAAAAACATAAATCAATTATGCATAAACCCATGATTATAAACTCATAGCGTCAAATCATACTCTTATAATTGGGGTGCCAATTCAATACTTCAATATAATATATAAAGCATGAATAATACCAGGAATAAAACCTAAAATTGTCAACAAGATATTAATTAATAATGAACTACCACAACCAACTTCTAAAAAGACACCTAATGGAGGGAAAATAACAGCTATAAAGTGTTAGTAGTGAACCGGTGGGTATAAAACATGAGTATAAAACATTGATATACATACCAGCAATGATTTTAAAGATATCTGTACAAGTGAATGCCATTTTGAATATAATAATTTGATTTGTATATGATTGTATGTAGTTGTAAGTGAGTTTTAATTTTTTTAATAACAGGAATTTCAGTGGTTTTATATACTTTTAGTAAATCAATAACGGTTGGGAATGATTGCTATACAATAGGGCAATTGGGCAATAAAGATGAAATTACATGACACAATCCTTGGAAATAATATCATACATTAAAGCAATAGTAAATTAATAACTAGTACATTATTATCATGTCATTATATTATATCATTGCCCTGCATTACGTATACTTTTATTAACTCTATAAATAAACAATATAGCCCTGTTTGAATAGTTGTTTAATACCTGAGCTAAAACAAGAATGGTAGGGGACGCGTGACACGTACTCAGCGGTTAATCAGTGAAATTTTAATTTCTGTATTTTTCATAGCAATTTAAATTTGATATTCAGGAACAAAAAACTAAAAGTAAATAGTATTTAATGATATTATGTCTCAATTGCACCACCTTTTGAATGTTTAAATAATTTTAATCCTGTCCATGAAATAACACACCATATCCATGCCATAACAGGGACTAATAAAACAGAATGAATATAATAATTATCCAAGGGGAAATCAAATATTTCATCAGTAGTTGTTGGTATTCTCCATATGTTTAATAATCCAGTTATTGATATAATGAATATTATCCATATAATTGATATAATTAAATAACCTATTCTTTTTTGTGTTTGTGGGTCTAATGGTTCTAATTTGGTTCGTGGATCTTTTGGTTTGAGTAATGGTAATGGATGTGTCATATTTGAATAATCATTTGGGTGTATATAGATTGTAATTCCTATAGTATCCTATCTACTCATACTATTCTATTCCTTTTGATCAAATTGTTTATTTTTGTTTTTATTTTACATGGTGAAAAAAGTCAAAAATTATATCTTATGTGTCTCTGACCAACTATCCTTGACTTCCCAAAGTGGTAATTAAAAAAGAATGATGTTACTATATTGATAATAAATTTATGTTATACAATTTTATAATGTTGATAATTTTGTTAATGCAATTAATGAACCATCTTCAATTCTTGTACCTTCAGGTATCGTTATTTGACCATCAAAAAATTCTTTTGGATTCTCTACACCTGATAAATTCTTTGAATCATATTTAAATGCTAATTCAATATCATTCCATTTTGATATAATTAATAATAAATTTAAATCTTGAGAATCATTCAGCTTAACCTCTGCTAATTCTGGTTTCTTGTTTGGTTTAATAAAATAATCACCACTATTTATATAAATACTTTGAGAATAACCATCTGGATAACTTGATTCTGTGAAAATTGAAGTAAATTTTTTAGCAATACGAACATGATAACCATATGATGATTTGGCACCAACTTGTTCTTCATATGCTTCAATTGGTGATACAACTTTCTTGGTTTCAGTATTTACCGTTACTCTAACATTAACAGGGACTTGTTGTCCTTGTAATTCTAAATATTTATCATATCCAATATTAACAAATTTTGTATTTTTTAAAGGTTGAGATTTTTTAGATTTATTTTGCGACTTGGTGGTTTTCCCCATTGTTACTGTTAAACCTTCTCTATATTTTGATGATACTTCTGGATTCATAAATGGTAATGTTGTTAATTTTGGGAAATTTTTTGCATATTGGAAATTTGAGAAAAATTTTTTTTTAAATAATGTTTTTGTTAAATATGGTGGTGTAACAAAATATTGTAATATTGTAGCAATTGTCATTGCATCTTCACTAACTTCATTCTTAGCTTTTTCTGTTGATGTATTATCATCATCAAATTTTATTTTTTTCTTGGAATTTGGATCTTGAACATCATTTAAATTAACTTTTTCATCTGGTGGTGTTTGAATATCCATTATAATAATTTCACCAACATTATATATTGATGCAACTTTTGCAATTTGATATAAAATATTTGTAACTTGTTGTAAATTTTTAGCATTTGATCTATTTATAATACTGGTTGGTATACATAATGAATAATTAATGCTTCTTGTTTTAGGTTTCTTTACAGATGTTAAATCATCTTGTTGTGATCTTTTTTGCTAAGGTTAACAAAGTGTTAATACATTAATTCCATGTTTATCTGTTTCAATATTTCACATACTTTTGGTGCCATTGTTACTAGCTAGTTCTGGTGGTGTAATGTTAGTCTAATAATGTTCAAGTATTAAAAGTTTATATTAGTTTAAGATGAGACATAAAAAATTTGATGGTTAGAAGTCATGTCCGCGATGGGCCTCTGGTACTTACCGGCCGAGATCAATCTATATACAAAACATTTTTAAATATATGCAAATATAATACAATTTAATACAACTTCTATACATCTAGGTGTTTATGACCTCAGTTCTTCTTCGTTCCTTCTTCATGAACAGTCTTATATAATGCCAATCTATTTTTCCAAAAAGTTTTACCACCTTTATGAGTAACTGGTTGAATTTCAATTGGATCATCATTATCATCATCATCATTTCCATTATTTGATTGTTTCATTGATATTGTTAATTCAGAATCTTTATCTCTTGAGATTTTATATTGTGAACCAAGGAATAAATCTTTTGCCACGATTTCTCTTGTTCTACCTAATGATTCTATATCACCAACTCTATCTAAAGTTTCTTCTAATAATTTATCAAATCCTGGTTGTGATGCAATTTCCAAGAACCCTCTCATCATTGGTACAGAATCTGCTCTAACAAATGAATCTGATGAATCTATAGTGAAAATATTTAAATTATCATACATTTGAATAAAATCATTTCTTGTCATGATTTGTCTTGCTCTCCAAAGTGGTAATTCTGGTAATTTATGATCATCTAATAAACCTTCTTTTTCAATTTGTTCTTTATACATCTCTACCAAAGTTCTCATTAATAACATTGCTGATGTGGAAAATTTACCACTTTCATTAACATCATCATCCATAGATTCTCCTAATAATCCACATTGATTTAAAAACCAAGTTTTTTCACGATCAATAACTTTATGTGATGCTTTAATCATATCTAATTGTTTTGCCACTTCAGATAAATGTTGTGGTCTACCTCCAATCAATTCATAAACTTGATTTGCAATATCAAAATCAATATTTTCATTAAAATATCTCTTTCTGGAAACGGCTAATGCCTGGACAGCTTGAGTTCTATTAAAATCACGAACATTTATAACTTCTAATCTTGTACCTAATTTTTTCAATCTTTCATAAAGCCAATAATCATCAGAATTGAAAATCATAGTAACTAAACCTGAACCACTTAATGATTCAGCTTTTTGTTGTAATAATTCAACTAATTTAACACCTTCTTCATCATCTTTTATTAAATGAGTATTATTTATAACAATAACCATTGGTTTCCCATATTGTTTAATTCTTCTCACTGCAACTTCTTCTAATTTATTAAAAGCACGTTCAATATCCAATAGGGCAGTTGTATCTCTTGGACCTCTTATAGAAAATAATGAACCTATATAATCTTCATGATATTCAAATTTTAAAGCTTTACCTAATCTAATTCTAAAAATTTCAGGATCAGAATGTGCATCAATAAATGTAACGTTAAAACTATCCATTTTCTTTATGGAATTTAAAATCATGGAACTTTTACCACAACCTTTTTCACCAGTTATAAGGAAATATCTACCAACTAAATTACCTGATATGATATCATCAATCAATTTTTGTTGAGGTCTTTCAACCCAATCACCTTCGATCTTTGTGGTTCGTTTATGCATTGTTAATTCAAATGCTGCATCACCTTTTTCAAATGCATTTGACATCTTATACAAGACATGTGCATTATAAAATTTATGATATGAAACACCAGCTAAACCTAAGACTAATAATGATGCAAATGTTATACCTGAAGTTTCACCACATTTTTTCAAGAAATTTTTAAATTTTGCAAAGGCAGATTCTTCTTTTGGTTCTTCATAACTTTCATAATCATCTTTTTTATTATTATTACCATTGTTATTACCATTACCATTAGAACTATTTTTACCATTTTGTTCAGCATCTAATTGTTTGCTATCTTCTTGACCAACTATATAATGATCAACATCATTATTTTTTTTCAATTTAATATCTTCAGAACCAGCGGGTATCAATACTTTTGGTTTGCCTTTTGAATTTTGATCTTTTTGAGCCTTAATTTTTTTCTTTAATTCATCATTATCTAACTCTTCTAAGATGCTATCAATTGGTAATAATGGATTTAAATTGACTTGCTTTGTATGGGAAAAACTTCTAATAAACACCCTGTGATTCACCAATGCTCTTCTAGCAATACTATGAACCACCATGACACTGATAATCTGGTCTCTGACCTTAGACAAAGTGGTAAAAATCTTTAAAAACTGAGCCTTCGAGTTAAAATTTCAAAACTTGATCGAGATTTCACATTTCTTGACACTTATCTGCATCTCAGGATTTGCGTGGCCGTTACGCCAAAAATTAATTAGTATAGGGAACTTTTAAAATAGAGAAGAAAACAAAACTAAACAAAGAGGAATCGGTATCAAAATCAAGATACTTTCCATTTTGTGGTTTCTAAAGAGAGCATAAGGTTTCCAGATGATGGTGTTTCCAAAGGGCTATCTTCTCTCCCTTCTCTCGTTGATTTTGGTGAGTTCCTTGTGAGGCTGGCTGAGAATTGAGGATATTGAGAAACAATAACTAACAAGATAATAGAATCATTTCCCACCAGGTCTTTGGGTGCTTTTGGATTTCATATTTGATATCAGTACGTTCTGGATAAGGGTGAGTATTACTTAAATAGGTTAATGGAGTTCAATTTACTGACAAAGGCTGATTATAGAAAGTTGTACAATTATGGAGAAGGAAAAATCCAATTAATGTTGCTAAACAAAACTTACTTAAAGCTGAAACTTATGAAGAATGGCAAGTTGGTGCTTATTATATTGATAGACTGACTGGTTCAGATCTATGGAGACATAATTTTACTAGTACCAAATATGATTATAGATTAATTGCAGAACGATTAAAAGCATTACAAGAAGCCAGAGATAATAATGATATATCTCAATTATTAAAACTGTTCAGAACAGGTGGTTTCTTGAGAAATTTTGGTGGGATCTCAAATCCAGAATTGTTTAATAGAGCTTATGCAGGTACAAAGACATTAATTGAAGATTATATTACTGAAGTTTTACATTGTTTACATTATTTAGATGAAAATGATATTACACAACATGAAATGTCTTCAAATCAAATGAAATTAGATTTTTTCCATGATGCAAGACAATCATTTGGAAGTACTGCACTTGTTTTACAAGGTGGTTCATTATTTGGACTTTGTCATTTAGGTGTTGTGAAAACATTATATTTTAAAGGTTTATTACCAAGAATCATCTCAGGAAGTGCAGTGGGAGCAGTTGTAGCATCATTAATTTGCTCTCTGACAAATGATGAATTGGCAACTACTTTATTAACTATAACTGAAAATTTAGGAAATATTGATAGATTAAATCATGATGTTGATGAACGTTATGGATCTGTTATTGAAAATGTTATAACAAAAGGTTATTCACAAGATATATTAATATTTATGAAATATGTTAAAGATATTATTGGAGAATTAACATTTGAAGAAGCTTATATCAAGACTGAAAAAATTTTAAATATTATAATTCATCCAACAAATAAAAACATTCCATCAGTCTTAAATTATGTTACTGCACCAAATACTGTGATTTGGTCTGCGGTTTATGCATCAATTGGAACTGGTGTGCTATCAGATAATGTCCAATTATATGAAAAAAATATGAATAATGAAATTGTACCAAGAATTTATACAGATAATAATTATGTATTTTTAACACCACAAAAGGCAAATGAAAGAGGGAATCCAGAAAGTCCATATACAAGAGTAACAGAATTATTTAATGTTAATAATTTTATAGTTTCATTAGCAAGACCTTATTTAGCTCCATTAATTGTTAATGATATAAAACATAAATCAGGTTGGAAACCAAAAAGATTATTTATGAGATTAATTGGTCTTGAATTACAACATAGAGTAGAATTAATGGATAGAGTTGGTATATTATTTAATTTTGTTAAAAGAATGGCTGTTGATGAAAAAACTCCAAAAAATTCAAGTGATATAACTATTGTACCTGAAATTCGTACATTAATGAAAGATTTTGGTAGAGTTTTCGATGTTCATAGAACTCTTGAAAATATTCCATATTGGATCTTGGTTGGTGAAAGAAGTCTGTGGCCTGTATTACCCATATTATGGACCAGATGTGCTGTTGAATTTACACTAGATGATTTATATAATAGAAGAAGAAGAAGACATAAATAAAAAGAAAAAACCAGTCATTAACACAAATTATTTATTTTTAATTTATACTAATATTTCATCTGAAGAATAATTTTGTAGTTTCTCTTGATACAAAGAATAAATATTCCTTTTCTGATACAACTAATGAATCAAATGGTATAGTACCTTTAGAAATTGTTAAAGTACCTGTGATATCTTTAGCTCTACCAGTTTCTAATGGTCTTAATCCTAAGACAATATTTGAACGATGTAATAATCTTATTATGAAATCTAATGTCTTGAACTCTGGTAATGATGGGTTTGCATGTTGTATATCAATTAATTCTTTATCTGCACCTGTTATAATAAATAAAGCATCTGCAATCTTATTTAATTTATTGATTTGATTTAATAATTGAATCGAAGTTATACCTGTTGATGATAACAGGAATTCGATACCTTCAATCAGTATAGTTTTCTTGTTTGGTATATTTTGAATTGTTTTAGATAATTGATCAAAAATTTTAACAATACTTTCAGGTGTATTAATTTTTTGAAATAAATCTGTAAATAAATCAATGAAATGGAACTGTTGGTTATCATTAACTTCAATCCCATTTCTTTTCAAATCTTTCTCATAAAAATCAAAATCATTCAAGAATGAAATAACAACAACATTTGATCTTAATTGTCTATGTTGATTTTTTTCATGATTTATAACACAAGTTCCATAAAGTGCATTTTCAATCAATAAATTTATTAGCCAACTAGGTGATGTTCCCTGTGTATGTGTGATGACACCGAACAATGGTTCGTCTCTGTATACTTTCTGTGGGATGATGGAGTTGTCCACGAATAGGTTCAAATCTTGTTGTTGTGACATGGCTTATGGTCTTTCAAAACCAGTCTGTTCATAGGTATAAAACAAAGCTCATCTCATTAAATTTTGTATGTGGTTTCAGCACCCGCGAATTTGTTTTGCAAAGTGTTAAAATTTTTTCATTTTAGCCTATACAGAAAAAAAAGAAGTTGAATTAACCACAATTTATTTTAATTTAAAGTCATTCTAGTCAAAAGTATCTCACAATGTCTTTGCCTTCATTACCAGCCAACTTTGGTGCTGAAAACTTCAAAGCAGCCACCAAATACACTGCTCCAGTCCGTCGTCCAATTGAACCAGTTGGTCGTTATTTCTTAGCTCATGCTAGTCGTGCTTTAAGAGGTCATACTTGGTCTGAATTTGAAAAAATTGAAGCTGAAAAAAACGTTAATACAGTTGATGAAACTGATGAAAACGCTGATTTAGGTGATGAAGAACAAGATGCTGAATTATTAGCTCATGATCCAAGAGATTGGAAAACTGCTGATTTATATGCTGTTTTAGGTTTATCTCATTTACGTTATAAAGCTACCGAAGATCAAATTAGAAGAGCTCATCGTAAACAAGTTTTAAAACATCATCCTGATAAAAAAGGTGCTAAAGGTGGTTTAGATCAAGATGGTTTCTTTAAAATTATTCAAAAAGCTTATGAAACTATTTTAGATCCATCAAAACGTGCTCAATATGATTCTGTTGATGAAAAGGCAAATGTTTTACCACCACCTCCAAAAACTGATTATGATTTCTTTGAAGCTTGGACTCCAGTTGTTGAAAGTGAAAAACGTTTTGCTAAAAAACAAGTTGTTCCATCATTAGGTGATGCTAACACTCCAAAAGCTGAAGTTGAAGCCTTCTATGCTGCTTTCTATAGAATTGATTCATGGAGATCATTCGAATTCTTGGATGAAGATGTTCCAGATGATTCATCAAACAGAGATCATAAACGTTATATCGAACGTAAAAACGTTGCTTCAAGAAAGAAGAGAAAAGCTGAAGATAATGCTAGATTTATCGCTTTAGCTGATAGATTAAGATCTGAAGATCCTCGTATTAAATTATTCAAAGAAGCTGAAAAAGCTGAAAAAGAACGTAAGAAATGGGAAAGAGATGCAGGTGCAAGAGAAGCTGCTGCTAAAGCTCAAAAAGAAGCCGAAGAAGCTGCTGCTAAAAAAGAAGCTGAAGAAAAAGCTGCTGCTGCTCTTAAAGCTGATTCTAAAAAGGCCAAAGAAGCCGCTAAATCAGCTAAAAAGAAGAACAAGAGAGCTATTAGAGGTGCTCCAAAAGATGCTGGTTACTTTGGTGATGCTGATAAAGCTGAAGCTATTGATTCAGATGTTGGTTTCCTAATTGAAAGTTTCGATGATTTACAATTATCTGATGTCTCAGGTAAAGTTGCTTCAGGTGATGCTGCTGCTATCAAAGAAGCTTTAGCTACTATTGCTAAAGAACAAACTGCTTCTGGTAAAGTTCCAGCTGCTATCTTGAAATATTTCGTTTAAAGTTGATACTTATAAAATCAATAATAAATATATTTAAAGATCTTCTTTAATTTAGTACCCATAATTGTAAACAAAGATATTTCGAATATACTTTATACTTGTAAATTTCATACCATCTCATGAAAAACGAAAATGAATCTAACTCTTCTGAAATTGTTAAGAATATTGAATAATTGGTATAATTTCAAGTAAATATCTTAACTATATATATTACATAATGTATTATATAATCAAGTACTGAACTATATGAATATATTAATTTCAAGCAGCATATATCACAATATTTGGTAAGAGTGACTATTTATATAGTGTTCCAGACCATAAATTTTCACTACGAGCTGGATTAGAAGCAATTTAAAGCAAAAAAAATTTGATTTTCATAATTTCAGAAATAATATAAATCTTCAAAATTTTAAATCTGGTTTAAAATTAAAGGAAAAAAAAATTTTGAAAATTTTATAAAATTTAAATCATGATTTTACGCTTCAAAAATGTGTTAAGCTGATAAAGTAATGTTTCAGGAGTAATACAATATCTATAAATTAAAAAAAATAGAACTTTTGACTCATTTATGTGAAATTTTAGGTGGAGTCACGTGACATGTACTAGTAAAGTCAGGCAGTCAAGCTATTTTATAACTTCAAGAAAATCCGATGTAGTGTAACGGCTAGCACGGTCCGCTTTCACCGGGCAAACCGGGGTTCGACTCCCCGTATCGGAATATTTTTTTGCCAATCTGTTTTGGCGGGCGATTTTCTGTTTTTTTTACGTATTCAATGGTGAAATAACTATAGAAATTCATTATTTGTAAAACATTTAAGCTTGATTGTTTGTAATGCTGTTTCAACTATTAATTTATGTGATTTTAAGCATTTTTATGGTGATTTAAAAGACTTTATAATTTACTGCCGCAACGTCAATTTCGTTAAGCCCGTCAAAATTAATACGTCTCTTGATCGCGCAATGAATTAGATCCATATGATACATATATATAATTGACTATATGCTGAAAAACATATAGACGAGCTGTAAACAAGGGTGTTTGGCGTTTTCTTATTGCAGAATAGCTTCTTGTGTTCAAACTTCAAACTTACTTACGAATCACGATTGCCTATCTATAACAGTTGAAGTGGTACGTGCAATAAATTAATTATGAAATCTTCTCGGGTATAGTCCTGAAATGGAAACACGGCCGAGTTTTGTAGGATAAACGATGAAAAAATTACTGTTGCCTTAAATTACAAATCTTTATTCTCAAATCTCAAAGCATTTTTAAGAACTTTTCTCCATATCAAGGTAAAATGCCGAATTGAAAGTATTATAATCTCATATATATCACCAAAAGAACATAGACTGGATCTTATTATAAAGAGAACGCATCAGAACCTTTAATAAAGATTTTGTACTTTTGCATACATAAAGTTTCATCAATTAGAGAACAATTCAAGATACTCATAGGTTGCCAAAATGAGATTGTTCAAGAAAAGAGAAAGCGTTGAATCTCTGGAGCCAAAAGAAGAGATAGAATCAACAACCACTTCAGATGTCGAATCAGTGAAACCTATTTCTGCTAAAAAAGGTTCACCTATAGTGAAAGCAATCATTGGATCTAAACCTGCTCCAATTGTTCAAGAAGAGTCAACATATCCATATTTAACTGCAAACATTTTTTCAAAGATTACATTTCACTGGGTTTCACCAATCATAAAGAAAGGTTATTTGAGAAGGATAGAAGATGAAGATTTATGGAAGCTAGAAGGTGATTTAACAGTACGATCAATGACTGAGAGATTCGAAGCAAATTTAGAAAAACGTATTGAACAATGGAGGTCAAAAAATCCAGATAAAGAACAATTTACAAAAATTGTTGTTATTAAAGCAATTAATGATACTTTTTTCAGGAGATTTTGGATAGGTGGATTCAGTAAATTTCTTGCTGATATATCGATGGTGTTAACACCATTATTGGTTAGAGCTCTTATCAAAATTATTCAAAACAAAGGTGATGGGAAAGTCGTACCTCATGTTGGTCATGCTATAGGTATTGCTATAGGTATTTCATTGATGATGATTTTTTCAAGTTTAATGATATGTTCAACTTTCCATCTTTCAATGTTGACAGGTGCTCAATGTAAAGCATTGTTAACAAACATTATTTATAGAAAAGCTTTTAAATTAAGTTCTAAAGCTAAGCTGAAATATCCCAATGGTAAAGTAAACAGTTTAGTTATGTCTGACCTTTCAAGAATTGATATGGCTATGGGTATGTTTCATTTCATTTGGACTTTCCCAATTACTATGATAGTTGTTTTAATTGTGTTGGTTTGTAACTTGGGACCTCCAGGTTTAATAGCAATTGGACTTATTTTAGTTTTGGTGGCTTTTATGTTTTATGTTACATCAAAATTAAAACTTTGGAGAAGACAATCAACAAAATTCATTGATAGTAGAGTTCGTTCAATTAATGAAATTATCAATTCTTTAAAAATGATTAAATTTTATTGTTGGGAAAAACCTTATTATAATGCAGTTGAACAATATAGAACTAAAGAAAAAGGATTCATTTTGAAAATTCAATTATTAAAAGCTATTTTGAACACTTGTGTTTCAATGGTTCCAATTTTAGGTACAATGTTAGTTTTCTTAACAATGTTCAAGACAAGTTCAGGTTTTGTTTCATATAATATTTTCTCAGCTGTAACATTGTTGAATACTTTAAGATTCCCATTGAACATTTTACCAATGGCTGTTGGGTTTTTAGTTGATGCACTTTTAGCAATGGAAAGATTTGCTGATTTCTTACAAGCTGAAGAAAGCGAAGAAACCGTTCAAAGACTTGGTTATGATGACTCTGAAAATGCTATTGAAATTTCAAATGCTACTTTTAAATGGGATGTTGAGGAAATTGAAGAACAAAAAGTTAAACCAGAGAAACAGACCACTGAAGATAATAAAGGAGAAGATTTAAGCTTTCCTGGTTTGCTTGATCTAGATTTGAATATTAAAAAGAATGAATTGATCATTGTCACCGGATCCATTGGTACTGGTAAATCTTCCTTATTAAGTGCCATTGAAGGTTCAATGAGAAAAGAATCTGGTGAATCGAAAATTTATGGATCATTAACTTTTTGCTCATATCCATGGATTCAAAATGAAACCATCAGAGAAAATATTTTATTTGGCTCACCATTCATCAGAGAAAAATATTATTCTATTGTTAAAGCATGTGCACTAGATGTTGATTTTCAAGTACTCCCAGATGGTGATCAAACAGAAGTTGGTGAACGTGGTATTACATTATCAGGTGGTCAAAAGGCAAGAATCAACTTAGCAAGAGCCGTTTATGCTGATAATGACATTATTTTGTTAGATGATGTTTTGAGTGCAGTTGATGCAAGAGTTGGTAAGCATATTATGAATGAATGTATATGTGGTATTTTGAAAGATAAAACAAGGGTTTTAGCTACTCATCAACTTTCGTTAATTGGATCTTCAGATAGAATCATTGTTCTTGATGGATCAGGATCTATAGATATTGGAACTTATTCTCAATTGTTAACTAGAAATGCTACATTTGCCAAATTGATGGAATTTAGTAAAGAAGAAAGTGATGAAGAAGAAAATGAAGACGATGAAAAATCTATTATGGAAGAGGAAGAACAAACTGCTCTTGAGAGACAAAAGACTGAAATATCCAAAATCCAATCAAGAAGACAAGAAAATGAGTCATCTACTACAGAAAAGGGAAGAATAACAACAAATGAACAAAGAGGCACAGATAGTATCTCTATGAAGATTTATGCAAACTATATGAAATTAGGTAGTGGACCTTTTGGGTACGCTATAATTCCAATTTTCATGTTGATTTTAGCAATGAATGGATTTTTACAATTATTTCATTCAGTATGGTTAACATTTTGGCTTTCACATAAATTTGATATCTCTACAAATGCTTATATCGGTATTTATATCATGTTTGTATTTCTTGCTATTGGATCTTATGCTCTTTTATTCACTACAATGGGTGCGTTGAATAATAATGCTGGGTTACATTTGTTTAATTTAAGTGCTAAAAAACTTTTGAAAACTCCAATGTGGTTTATGGATATTACACCAATTGGACGTATTTTGAATAGATTTACCAAAGATGTTGATGTGCTTGATACAGATTTGATTGAACAATTGAGATTATTTATCCAATCTATTGCTTTAGTTGGAGGTGTTGTCATATTGTGTGGTGTTTATATACCATGGTTTTTTTTGATTTTACCATTTGCATTTGGTGTTTTTTACTATTTGTCTCATTATTATCAATCATCAGCTTTGGATATTAAAAGATTAGAATCTATTAAGAGATCATTTGTGTTCAGTCATTTTAATGAATCACTAACAGGTATGAGAGTAATCAAATCTTATGGAAGTCAAGAAAGATTCAAACAAAGATATGAAAAATTAATTGATGATATGGATTCTGCTTATTTTGTCACATTAGCAAATCAAAGATGGTTGGGTGTTAGATTAGATGCAGTGGGATCATTAATCAGTTTATTTGTTGCTATTCTTTGTTCTTGTGGTGTCTTCAATATGAATGGTGCACAATCTGGGTTGTTAGTTTCATATATAATTCAAATTGCTTCTATTATGTCATTATTATTAAGATCAATGACCCAAGTTGAGAATGATATGAATTCTGTGGAAAGATTGTATGAATATGCTACAAAATTACCAGAAGAAGGTCCTTTTGAAGTAGAAGATAAAAAACCTGAGAAATCATGGCCAAAGAATGGTGAAATTCAGTTTAACGATGTTTCATTGAATTATAGAGCTGGGTTACCACTAGTATTGAAAAATGTTTCATTTAATGTTAAAGGTGGTGAGAAAATTGGGATTTGTGGCAGAACAGGTGCTGGTAAAAGTACAGTGATGAATGCATTATTTAGGGTTAATGAATTAATTGGAGGAAACGTTGTGATTGACGATGTTGATATTTCCCAGATTGGATTAGATGATTTGAGATCCAAATTATCAATTATTCCACAAGATCCTGTTTTATTCCATGGCTCAATTAGACAAAATTTAGATCCTTTTGGTAAAAGTCCTGATATTGAACTTTGGGATGCATTGAAAAGAAGTTGGCTTGTTGAAGAAGGTGCTTCAGGTACTGGGAAATTCATTGCAGGTGAAACCGATATAAAATCATTCCATAAATTCCACTTGGATCAAAATGTTGAAGATGATGGTGCCAATTTCTCATTAGGTGAACGTCAATTATTGGCCTTAGCTAGAGCTTTGGTTCGTAATACAAGAATTTTGATCTTGGATGAAGCTACATCTAGTGTTGATTATGAAACTGATGCTAAAATTCAATCCACAATTATTAATGAGTTCAAACAATGTACAATTTTGTGTATTGCTCATAGATTAAAGACCATATTGAATTATGATAAAATATTGGTTTTAGATAAAGGTGAAGTTATGGAATTTGATACACCATGGAATTTATTTAAATATGGTGGTATTTTCACAGAAATGTGTGAAAGATCTAGTATCACAGAAGAAGATTTTGAAGGGTTAAAGAAGTAGACGGGTAGATATTTATCAGGGTATAATTATAGAAAGGTTTCAGGTGTTGGTTCAGTTCTCTAAGTATTTAATATTTAATATTCAATAGATGAAATAATCACTAATTACAATCACTTGTAGGTTTCAACATTTCCACTAGTATTCCGACCAGTTTCTGCTTATATGTCAAAATTCTCATAAAGACGCGATTGGGCTCCTCAAAATATTTTGACACTAAAACAAACAAAACGTACACAACCAGAAACACTTTCAAAAAAGCCATCTAATCTTTTCAGAATCACAAAATCTCTTGCTTCTTATCACCAAATACAGATTCAATTTATATCTACCAGATTCAGTGTTTATTTGCTCTTTTCTGGCCACTCTTTGTCTCCTTGCAATCGACGGTGTTCGGGGTGCGTTTTATCTGTGGATATTTACAAATTACCACAATTGCCATCAAGATTCCAGAGCTGAATCGAATCACCACCAAAACAACCACAAAAATAGCAGAGAAGAGCACAGTTCTCAATGTCTGATGTGAAGAAGAAGGGAACAATCTACCAGTTGAAGCCAGACCAGCCATGTTTTTGTTCAGCTGAGGAAGGCGTACTGTCTGCGGCAAAGTTGATGCTTGAAAACAGTGCTCATTGTGTGTTGGTGCAAGAAGGGAACAGGACAGTGGGTTTATTCACTGCGAAAGATTTTGCTTACAAGGTAGTTGGTAAAGGAATAGACCCTGATTCAGCTTTAGTAAAGGATATCATGACCACTTCGCCGTTGTTTCTTCATATGAATACTCCCATGACAGAGGCGTTAGAAATCATGGTTAAAAGAGGCATCAGACATTTACCTTTGTTGGACAATGAAGAGAACATCAAGGGAGTTTTGGATATCACAAGGTGCTTCCATCAGGCAATGTTAAGGCTTGAAAAGATATCAAATAATGCCAAAAAATTGAATCAAGTGTTACAAGAAGTTGCTGAAGATTATGAAGATAGTAGAAGTTTACAAGCACAATCTATCATAGATGATATCAAAAGATTAATGCAGTTAATTGAGGTGCCAACATTACACTCTATTGTTGAAGGATCAAAACCGGCTGTTTATATCGATTCGCATGCTTCTGTTCGAGTTGCTGCTGAGATGATGATTGCAAATTCCACAACAGCCTTAATAGTTAATGATGGAACTTCGTCACCAAAGAGAGTGATTGGAATCTTCACGAGTAAAGACATTTGCTTCAGAGTTTTAGCTAAAAATTATGATCCTGATACTTGTACAGTGGCAAGGGTGTTAACAACAAGTCCAGAATTCGCAAAAAGTAATATTACCATTAGCGCTGCTTTAAGATTGATGTTTCAAGGTCATTTTTTGAATTTACCAGTTACAGATGTTGTTACAGATGAAATCATCGGAATCGTAAGCGTATTACAATTAACATATGCTGCTTTATCACAATTGGGCAAGAAAGATGGGGTTGATAAAAGCTCATTCACTCCTAAAACATTAGAAGAAGTCTCAAATAGACTTACAGATGATGAAACTCCATTATGGGATAGCTTTTGGCGTTCAGTTGATAAATCAGTTGATGACTTACAAAACTTGGAATCAAGTGTTAGTGGTAAAACGTCAAGTCCAACTCATTCGAGATCTCAAACACCAAGACAAAGCCGTCAAGCTTCAATAAATCAATTAATGATGTCAACATCAAGAAGAACTTCATTTAATAGAAGAAGAGAATCTGAAGACTTAAGCTCCACTATAAGTGTACCAACTAGGGTTAATAGAACTGTTTCATCAGATTCATTAATAGCAAAATCACTTTCATTAGCTAATAAAAAAACCATATACTTCAAAATAAAAGGTCCTAATCACACAAGAAGTCATAGGGTCAGTATCACATTATATGACGGCGCATTGGCCAAAGATAAGACTGGGTTGTTAGAGCTGTTGAAGATTGAAATTAAGGAAAAAATCGGTGTTGAAGTTGAATATCAAGAACTATATTATAACAATCGTGATAAAGATGAATTGCAAATCATTCAAGATGGGATTCAATTGAATGATTCGATTGACAACTCTGACTCACAAGATTCACGCTATGTTGAAATAGTGGTTAAAGATTCTTCAAGACATTGGTTCAAGTCTATATGCTCTTATTGGAATTTTCTGAAACTTAAAACCAAATTACTGTTTTTTGAAACATCCTTGTTCCCCAGCGCACTGGTAATCCTCTCTGCTGGAATTTTCATGGGATATACGATCTCCAAACACAACTAGAAAGATACATACAACATACAAACTATCATTTATTCTGCGAAAAAGGCCAAATCGTGTAAAATTTAAATCATCAATTAAATCTCAATTTTATACTGATGATTACGTAAGAAGAATTTCCTCCATTCGCGATTTTTTTTTTGCCTATGAAATTTTTTTGAATTCCTGGCAAAAATTTAAAGGTTTGATTAACGTGGAAAAAATATCAACATTTTAAAGAGCAAAACAAAATTCAACTTTTCAATTTCACTTGAACGTTTAATTTCATTTCTTTGATCTCTTGAACCTCATCATAAGTGTTTGAGGAGTCGCAACTTAGGTTACTGGATCGTATTGAAAGCATAGAGGTACGTATATTAAATCCGTGGGAATGATGGTGACGCTAAAAGTATATGATCTGATTGATGCTTGTTTCATATTATTTATTTGGTGATATATAGGCACTTTGCACATCATTCTTATCAAAATTGATCATTGACTAACATAATTTGAAGAATAAAAGCTCATTTCAATAAATTTCAGACCAATCAAGAAATAGAAAATATCACAAAGAAAAGAGTTCGCGTTTGAAGATGTCATCATTACCAACTGATATCAACGCTGCATTGATTGAACTCTTGAGTGGTTTATCATCTGCTGATAACAATGTCCGTTCTCAAGCTGAAAATACCTTATACACATCTTGGACCGTTAAAGATCGTGTTGACGTTCTTTTGGTGTTTTTAGCTGAACAAGCTACTGCAGGTGGTTCAGATGAAGCTAAAGCATTTTCATCTGTTTTATTCAGACGTTTAGCTATTAGATCTCCTCAAAACTTGAAAAGTGTTACAGAAAGAACAATTTCAACCGTCAACTCACATGCCTTAGAACAAATTCGTGCATTATTTTTAAAAGGTTTTATTTCTCAACAACAAAATTTTGTTAGACATAAATTAGCTGATGTTATTGCAGAATTAGCTAAAGATGATATCCCAGGTGAATGGACTCAACTATTTCCAACTTTAATAGAAGCTGCTAAAAATCCAGACCCAAGTTTCAGAGAATCAGCTTTCAGAATTTTCGCAACTACTCCAGCTTTGGTTGATAGAAGTTATATCAATGACGTTTTACCAATCTATCACTCAGGTTTTGATGATGAAAATGATGATGTTCGTATTGCTGCTTGTACAGCTTTCGTTGCCTTTTTCCAAAACTTACCAAAAAAATCATGGCCATCAGTTGAATCATTGTTACCAAACTTATTAAATAGTTTACCAAGATTATTACAGAATGGTAAAGATACTGCATTAGCTGCTGTTTTAGAATCATTAATTGAACTAGTTGAATTAGCTCCAAAAATGTTCAAAAACATGTTTGAAACTATCATTCAATTTTGCTCAGCTGTTTCCAAAAATAAAGATTTGGATTCAAGTGCAAGATTAGCTGCTTTAGAATTATTAACCACATTCAGTGAATCAAGTCCAAACATGTGTAAACGTCAACCAGAATATACTCAAGCCATTGTCGTCATCACTTTAAGTTTGATGACTGAAGTTTGTATTGACGATGATGATGCAGCAGAATGGAATAATTCTGATAATACTGAAGATGATGAAGAAGAACCAGAATATGATTCAGGTCGTCAAGCTTTAGATCGTGTTGCTTTAAGATTAGGAGGTGAATCATTAGCATCACCATTATTCCAATTGATCCCACCAATGTTAGCTTCTGCTGATTGGAGAGAACGTCAAGCTGCTTTAATGGCTTTATCTTCAGCTGCTGAAGGTTGTAGAGATGTTTTAATTGGTGAAATTCCAAGAATTTTGGATATGATTATACCAGCTCTTAATGACCAACACCCAAGAGTTCAATATGCTTGTTGTAACTCATTAGGTCAAGTATCAACAGATTTTGCCGATGTTATCCAAAGAAGTTCCGGTGATCGTATCATTCCAGCTTTAGTTTCTAAATTAACAAATCAATCAGTTCCAAGGGTTCAAGCTCATGCTGCTGCTGCTTTAGTTAATTTCTCTGAAAATGCTTCAAAAGAAACTTTAGAACCATACTTAGATGAATTATTGAGTAATTTATTGACATTATTACAAAGTCCAAAACGTTACGTTCAAGAACAAGTTTTGACCACTATTGCCATTGTTGCTGATGCTGCCGAACAAACATTTATTAAATATTATGACACTTTGATGCCATTACTATTAAATGTTTTAAAAACTGATATGGGTGATGAAAATAGATTATTAAAAGCCAAGTGTATTGAATGTTCAACTTTAATTGCCTTAGCTGTTGGTAAAGAAAAATTCCAACAACACTCAAATGAAGTTATTCAATTATTTGGTACCATCCAACAATCAGAACTACAAGATGATGATCCAGTTAAACCATATTTGGAACAAGGTTGGGGTAGAATTGCAAGAATTATTGGTAAAGATTTCTTACCATTTTTACCAAGTGTTTTACCACCATTACTTCAAGCTGCTAGTGCTCAACAAGATATCAGTTTGTTAGAAGAAGAGGAAGCTGAAGAATTTAACCAAGATGATGATTGGGATGTTATTCAATTGGCTGGTAAACATATTGCTGTTCATACTGCTCTTTTGGATGACAAAGCTGCTGCTATTGATTTAATCAGTGGTTATGCTGAAATCTTGAAAGGTGATTTTTTCCAATTCACCAAGCAAATTGTCGCTGAAATTTCATTACCAGCTATTGACTTCTATTTACATGATCAAGTTAGAAGTGCAGCTGCTTCATCATTACCTGCTTTATTAATGACTAGTAAATATGCAACTGGTGAAAAATCTACACAAACTTTAGAACTATGGCAATTAATAAGTGATAAATTAATCAAAGCTATTGGTACTGAACCAGTTCAAGATTTATTATTTATTTATTACACAGCGTTTGCTGATTGTGTTCAATTAATTGGTGATGATGCTCTATCTACAACCCAATTAGAAAACTTCGCAAAGAATGTCAATGAAGGGTTGAAAGAAATGTATGACCGTATCAAAGAACAAGAAGGCCAAGATGATGAATATAATGAAGAATTGGATGAAGAGGATAGAGACTATACTGATGAAGAACTAAGTGATGAAATCAACAAAGTTATTTCTGTTGTTTTCAAATCATCTAAGACCGCATTCTTACAACCATTCCAAACCTTAGTACCAACCATTGCTGCTTATATTAATGACACTAATGTCACAGCCAAATTATTTGGTTTATGTGTTGCTGCTGATTTGATTGAATATACTGGTGAACACTCAAAAGTTTACCAAGAACTATTCTTGAGCCCAGTTGGTGAATCTTTGTCAAGTCAACACAGCTCAATCCGTCAAGCTGCTGCTTATGCCGTTGGTGTTACTGCTCAACACGCAAGTACAGCTTACCATGATTTCATCTTAGCTGCTTTAGAACCATTATACAATTCTACACAAATTGCAGATGCTAGATCCGAAGATAACATTAATGCCACTGAAAATGCTTCAGCTGCTATTTCTAAAATATTGCATACCATTCCATCAACTGTTGATGTTGCTGCCGAAAGTTGGATTAAAACTTTACCAATACTTCATGATAAAGAAGCTGCACCATATGCATATAGATTCTTAGCCCAATTAATTGAATCTGGTCATAGTTCTGTCCAATCTCAAGTTCCACATGTTATTGATTCAGTTGTTCAAGCTTTAGTTTACGCTTCAATTGGTGGTAAAACAGCTGAAACAGTTGCTGCTTCCACTAAAAAATTGTTGAGCTCAATCCCACATAGTGATGCTGTTAGCTTATTACAAAAGTATCCTGCTGAAGCTCAACCAGTTATTCAAAAATGGTTTTCATGAGTTTTGTTTTCAGATTAGGTGAAAAAGTCATTAGTTAATTGCATAATTCCTTTTTTTTTAAATTATTATTTTTTGGTTTCTCACTTTTTTATTATAATACTATTATATATATATATAAATTTCCATTGTGTTTAGATTAGATTTGTCCTGTTTTTTTGATCATTATAATGTTTTCATATTGCTCGACTAATGTTGTAGGACCGACATTTTTATTTCCGAATTCGGAAGTCAAGACTCATCTCATAATTTTTTTTGCATACAGAAATTTTTTTATCTAACATAATAAAGAAAATTTATGTTGTATAACATTTGAATTTAGAAGTTTCAACTAGATATAAAGGATACCGTTCAAAGGAGTTTTAATGGAATAAAGTGTTCAAATATGGGTTTAGCAGGTACTAAAGTGAAACAAAGATTTGGGATGGATCCCCGTAACACCAAATGGGCTAATGATACCAATAGATTTGGTGTTCAATATATGGAAAAACAAGGTTGGAAACCAGGTTCTGGGTTAGGTTTGGTATCTCATGCTATGACTACTCATGTTAAGATCCCATTTAAAGAAGACAATGTTGGTCTTGGTGCCAAATTAGCCAAAAAGACTAAAAAAGATGAATTTGATAGTGGTGAATGTGCAGGTTTAGATGTTTTCCAAAGAATTTTAGGTAGATTAAATGGTAAAGAAGAAGAAATTAATAAAGAATTAGATTTACAAAAACAAGAGAAAATATTGGGTAAAATGGGTATTACATTTGTTAAAGGTGATGTTTTGAGAAGTACATGGGATTCAGAAGCTAAGAAACTGATTGACAATAATAAGAAGAGAAGTAGAGATGATAGTGAAGATGATAGTGACAGTGAAGAAGAAAAACCAAAGAAGGCAAAGAAAGAAAAGAAGGCAAAGAAAGAAAAGAAGGAAAAGAAAGAGAAGAAAGAAAAGAAAGAAAAGAAAGACAAGAAGAAAGAAAAGAAGGAAAAGTCTAAAGATAAGAAAGAGAAGAAGGAAAAGAAAGAAAAGAAGGAAAAGAAAGAGAAAAAAGATAAAAAGGATAAGAAAGACAAGTCCAAAGAAGACAAATCATCTGAAGTAACTCGTGAAAGTATGCTAACACCTACTGAATCAAGAGAAAGTACACCAGTGAACTCTCGTCACATAAGGTCAAGATGGATCAAGCAAAAAAGAGCTGCAACATTAGATGCAAAGGCATTAAATGAGATCTTTATGATAACGAATTAACAAGGTTAAGAAATATTATTAGCATAGAATTTTTAAATATATAGTTTAGCATTTTGTAATTACCATATACATGTAGGCAACTATACGAAAAATATTTTAGCTAAGATTATTAACTAAACAGAAAAAACTAACAAAAATTATATTTATAAACTAAGGTAAAAAAAGAATTAATAAAAATAATGAGTAATATATATAAAGTCTCTCAATTAGTTATGGGATGTATCAAACATCTATAACATAACAAAACCTAAACCACCAAAGAAGAAAGTTAAAGCAGTAGTCATAAAGAACAATTGAGCAGAATCAACAGATGGTCTAACAATGTGACCACTGGATGAACCACTTGAGCTTGAACTTGATGATGATGATGAACCTCCACTTGAGCTTGAACCAGAACCAGATGAACCAGATGAACCAGAACCAGATGAGCCAGAGACTGATTGTGAGTTTGAAGCAGCACTTAAGACACTTGAACAAGATGAAGCAGTTGAAGCACCAGAGTTCAATGAAGCTGAACCATCGAATGAACAAGCAGATTCTTTTTTACCATTTTGTTGGTAATATTCATTCAATAAGAATGATAATTTGGTTTTATCATCACAGTATGAGTATGTACCGTATTCACCTTTTGAAGCATTGGCTTGAATACCTGAACAATCAATTTCACCACAAACTGAACCATATAAATCACCATATTCTTTCTTGGCAACATCATCGGAGACAACACAAGATAATGAATCAGATAAACATTCACAAACAGATTCTTCTGGGGTTGGTGGTAAGTCAGTTGAAGCTTTCCATGAAGCAGCTTGAGATGGACATGAAATAGTAGTTGCTGAGACATCTGAAGATTTAGCTGAGGTTGGTGAAATGTTGGCTAATTCTTTACTCAAGTAGTTGAAATCATCTAAAGTTTTAACAGAATCACCAGAAACTTTAACTAAACCATAATCATTGTCTTCTTGGAAATACATGTAAACAATACCACCAGACCAGACATCAGTCATTTTATCAGAGTAAATGGTACCAACATCAGTGAATTCTCTTGGTTTAACTTCATTACAACCGTATTCTGAAAAGAATAATGGGATTGATAAGTTTTTGAATTCTTCAGTTCTTGCTTCATAACCAGATTTTTCAAAAGTTGAATTACCACACCATTCATACATGTTAATACCGTAGAAATCAGCTTTAACATCATCGTCACCACAAGCAAAGTAATCAGCAATGGCAACTCTGGTATCAGAATCATCATTAGTGGAGTAACCAACTGGGATATCTCTGTAACCTTGGTCTTTAATGTAAGCTTTAACATCTCTAACAGCAGCTTTAACGAATGCAGCAGAATCAGAGTTTGTGGCATTGTTTGTAACTTCATTACCAGCAAAGAAACCTAAGACATTGGTGTAGTTGTTTAAAGCATCAACAACATCAGTGTAACGTTTGTATAATTCTAAATCCCATGATGGAGAATCTCTGTTAATAGAAGTTGATGGTTCTGATAAATCAGCAATAATGTAAATACCATGTGAAGCAAATAAATCTAAACATTCATGATGATCAACTGAAGTGTTAACAGCGTAAACTCTTAAAACATTTGTGGATAATTCTAACAAGTATGGTAAATCTCTTTTACAAGCGTCAGCATCAGCTAATGGATCAATGAATGAGGAATCTGATGAATTTGCAGTGTCTTGTTGGTAAGCAATACCTTTCATATAGAATTGAGTACCGTTGTTTTTGTAGAAAAATTTGTTACCGACAACTTCAATTGATGGAATATCTTCATCTGTACCTTCATCAGAGTTGGCATGTGCAAATTTTGAGTAGAAACTCATGAAAATACTTGTCAAAAAGACAAGTTGTAGTAATTTGAAATTCATAATATAAGATTGTAAAAAAAGCTTCAATATTATGTTTTAATGAATGAATGAATGAATGCTTCTTATGAAAATTGAAAAGTGTAATGTCAAACGAATGGATACGACTTTTAATATGATTATTTGTTTTGAAA